TATTTAAACGGTATTTGAAACCTAGATCAAGTAATTTTTGTTGGTAATACTGTAGTGCTTGATATCAATGCATGCAGCAAAGTTACTTCTGAATTAAAGTTTAAAGTTTATTTATTTTCAGTTAAAGTGATTAAAGTTTGGATCACGGTGAAATGTTTACACATCGCTCACATTAAAGTTAAATTATCCATTTTTGAAAGAAACAAAGAAAGTCTTTGAAGGTAAAAACAGTCATTAGGTGAGAATGAGCACAGACAGTTCCACTGCATAACAATGGAGGTCCCCTCTTGGATAGGTAGCTATCGTTTAAGGATCTAAGTCCCCTCTTGGCAATTTCTTTAAAAAGCAAAAAAAAGCAAATTTACAGTAATATTATGTTAAAAGACAGTAAAAGTAAATTTTGTATTATATTTATTTTACTTCAAAAGGACTGGAAACACAGGTCCACACTTGGCAGTTTACTCCGACGGTGCACTGTTGGATAGGTACGCGTGTATGTGTGTGTGTGTGTGTGTGTCTGTGTGTCTGTGTGTGTGTGTTTGTGTCTGTGTGTGTGCGTGTCTGTGTGTGTGTGTGCGTGTGTGTCTGTGTGTCTGTGTGTGTGTGTGTGTGTCTGTGTGTCTGTGTGTGTGTGTGTGTGTCTGTGTGTCTGTGTGTGTGTGTGTGTGTGTGTCTGTGTGTCTGTGTGTGTGTGTGTGTGTCTGTGTGTCTGTGTGTGTGTGTGTCTGTGTGTGTGTGTGTGTCTGTGTGTCTGTGTGTCTGTGTGTCTGTGTGTGTGTGTGTCTGTGTGTGTGTGGTGCACTTACCAACCTATCTAACAGTGGACCTCGACGTCGTTACACAGTAACAGCTTAAAAGTGAAAGTATCAGCAGTAAAAGTACACATGTATTATGAGCTTGTATTTAAAGTATCAGCAGTAAAAGTACACAAACACATAAATGTTATTACATTTAAATGAATAACATTTCATTTTAAAATGAAAACAGACTGTTTGTTTATCGTTCCTGTTATTTATCTGTAAGAAAACAGTTTTAAAAAATAAACTTTTAAATTATAAAAATGTGTAAAAATATTTAAAATAATTGTTCACAGTGTCGATGTCTTCACTCAACTTTATTAGCAATCAGTGCTGCGACACGACGTTAATCTGAGGAGACTGACGTGCGTGTGTGTGTGTCTGTGTGTGTGTGTGTGTGTGTGTGTGTGTGTGTGTGTGTGTGTGTGTGTGTGTGTGTGTGTGTGTGTGTGTGTGTGTGTGTGTGTGTGTGTGTGTGTGTGTGCAACCTTGATCCTGCAGCAGCAGGCGGGTGTTGCTGCTGTTGTGGGGACATGAGTCTGTTTACACAGCCACATGTGGGGACTCCACATGTAAATCATTAGATTACAGGACGAAGCACAGGTCAGCTCTGCAAAGTCATCTTCCACTTGCAGGCTTTTCTTTCCCTGGGGTTTCAGTCCACCTGAACATTAATAAGTACCTGAGAGGAAACTTAAAACTTCATCCAAAAACTGTCTGAAGAACATTAACACATGATGTCATCATGTTTCTCCACCTGTCTGAAGCGACACTCTTACCCGACGAGGACCTCTAGTGGCCGTGTGAACAGTGACGTCAGGATGTCCTGATACCAGAAATTTAGTAGTCGATTCCGATACCACGTTAAATAAACCCACAACAATTAATCCCATAATAATCCCATAATTGACTTCAACATGGACTCCTTTACAAAAACATTTGAACTTTAACACCTAACAGCTGAGAACGAGAGGCTGTCCAGGACTGACGAGAGGTGCTTGGATGTTAATATATTCATAAATAAGCAAACTCTTGAAATTACAACCTGAATGAATACCTTGTTTTTCTTATGAAATGTTTGAGGGTGGTCTCCGTCTATACTGGCAGTAATCTGAGATTTTAATGTAGAAAAACAAAACAGTTACTGGTGATTGAAATGGATCCGAACTCCTCCTACAGTAACAGGTGGTTGGACAGACGTTCAGTTCTTATGCAGGACACTGGGGGAAATTTCCAACTAGACGCCACCTGAAGTTGGATTTCCTACTTGTGAACTCAGAGAAAAAATATGAACCTCGACTTCAGGAGTGGCAGCGTCACACAACAGTGTCAGCGCCCACGGAAGCTCACACTGTAACTGGTAAACCGTAAACTAAAAGGCAAAGGAAAGGATTAAATTAAAATAATGCATATTAGTATCAAACAGTAAAACTTGCTCTGCATGTAAATTGATGCAGAACTATTTTGTCAGTATTATTAGGCAGCTGGTTCCAGTAAAGAATCTCTGAAAGTCGTCCCAAAAGTTGTTCAGGAAAATGTTCAAAACGTTTGTTAATGCAGCCTCCGACTTTGGCTGACTTCTGAGGATTACCAGCTGATGTAGCTACAAGGACACTCAGTTAACGAGTAACTTGCTGCAGATGAAACAGACGAAACTAAAACTTAAACAACCTGTTTGATTCTGCAGTATGTGTCGATGTTTCACAAGTCACTCATTTCACCAGCAGCAGGCCGCTCTGTCTGCGCTCACCTGTTTACTTTGCATTGCAAAATGAAAAGATTTGCACACAGAGCAGCAGCAGCAGCAGCAGCAATGATCTGCCAGCTGTTAATGTTCACTCAGAGAGAAATCTGCCTGTAATGAAGCCTTTTCAGGTTGTTAAACTGAATCTAGTGAGCAGCTCCTCTCGCCTCTGAGGTTTCTACTGAGAGCGTTTGTGTTTGTGTCTGCAGGCTGTGCAGTGAAGGATTATGGGAACCTTAAGTTTGAGGAAGTGGCGGACGACGAGCCGGTGGGTCGGGTGAAACGTGCGCGGGCGGTGGGCAGCGCCAACCAGAGGCTGTCAGCGGCGGTGCAGGCGGTGAAGCGGGACGGACACACGTCGGTGATGCTGGGAGGAGACCACAGGTGAGTCTCACAGCTCCCTCTGGAGACACTACCTACTAAAACACCTGGTGGGAAGTCAGTTCGTCAGCATGTAGTTTAGACTAGAATTGCATTGAAAGTGTAAATGATGTTGTAACATCTTTTGCTAATGGAAAAGTGACCCAGCTGCTTGTTTAGACAGGAGACCGAATGTTTAATTGACGTTGGTTTAAAGGATAATTTTTGGTTTTTCTAAACAGGGGCCCTCTTTTTAAATATGTTGGTGTTAAAATGACAAGAAGGTATAAAAGGTTTTGGAATCCGTGCAAGTTGCTGCAGGAACACATGGTGAAAACGAGGGAGAGGAGTTTGTTGTGTCCTTTGAGGAGCAGCAAGACTTTAATTCCTAACAATATTCCAACGTGACAAACTTCTCTCTCCAGCTCTGACTCGTGTTCGCACCTTCGTCTTCCTGCAACAACTCGCCTCTCACGAGATTTCAGAGCGAGACTTCAGTTTCCTGTTGTTGTATTTGATGCTCTGTTGATGCTTGGATGTTGTAAGTCGCTTTGGATAAAAGCGTCTGCTAAATGAGTAAATGTAAATGTAAAAACAAAGGGGGCCACTGGGGTCCCTCTCAGGGATCCTTTCTGGGATGTCGTCAGACACTTGGTGTAACAGTCTGAGCCTGTCAGGGCAAAAAGAAATGCTTGTTGTGGACGCCATTTTGAGGGGCGCAATCACCCTGAAGGAATACGTTACAGCTGCTGCAGCATGTACTGCAGGGAGTCCATGAAAATAGAGCTCAGGTTTAAAAATACAGAAAGTATTCTCGAACCGAAGGTTCAGGTCTGAAAGATGAGGTGGAGCAGTGCTGGACGTTTTGGTACCAGAGGGAACTTTTCTACGTCTGAGTTGTTGATGGGCAGGATGTGTTACACTCGGGTCTAACGGCAGTGCTTGAAGGTGATGCGCTTCCAGAAGTGTAAAGACAAATAATAATAATGATGAGTCCAGGTAGTGTTGAGGTGGAATGTATTAAGAGTAGAGAGTATTGCACTAACAGGTCTGTTACTGACTAAGAGTCTGTGTGTTATCTTTTACATGCTGCTGATACCAACACTCTGAATCTCAGTTTTACTGTGGTAAATATTTAAAGACGTAGATTGTTGGCTTTGGTTTGTGTCCAAGAACAGCAGTCTGTCAATCATCCACCTGCAGGACACAGTCCAGATCAAACCGAGTGATCGATCCGTGGGGGGTCACTGGACCTTTCAATACTGAAGTTCTCTGGTTGGTTTTATTTAGAGCGCACGTGTACAGACAACAAAATACAGAAGATTTACATGGTCGGGACAAAAGGCTGCTTGCTGTTCATATTCTCTGAGAACATTTAAGTCACAAAGGTTACACCTGAAAAATCACCTGAACTGCAGGAAACAAACATCTTATTTCTCAGTTTCAGGGCTTTATGAAGACATTTTAATCATGTATGCCAGTGAAGTTTAAAACTAAAAGATTGCCTGTAATGAACTCTTTCATTTAAACTTCAGTCAGTCACTTCGTGAACTGTGGATACATTTAATTGGTCTTTTCACATCAACAACCCTGTGAACCTGCACAAAAATAAGTTAAGGTGTTATATTAGTTTGATAATATAATAGTAATACCATTTATTTACCAAAGTAATAAGCAGGTCATAGCTTGGTATTAACAATGTGTATATTGAAATGTATGTAACAGGGTGACAAGGGGCCGGAAACAAAGGGGAGTACTGAGAAAAACGATTTAGTAATATTTTGGAAACAATTTGGTAACCTTGTAGCAATAAATAGGTTAAATCAGTGCAATATTTGGTAATATAGTGACATTAAAGGGTAATTAATAGGTACTAACAGGTTTTTCACAGTATTATCGGCTGCTATGAGCGTAAAGCTTCAAAATCACGTGGAAGTCAAACATGTTATTATTATTTTATGATGTGAAGTGCTACTGAAATTAAAACATTTAATATATGGATATTGAGCTCTCACTCCCTGTGGTTCGTCATGTGTCCATCAGTCTGGCGATTGGTTCGATCCACGGTCACGCGGCGGCGGTCGGGGAGCTGAGCGTCGTGTGGGTCGACGCCCACGCCGACATCAACACGCCGCTGACCTCGTCCACCGGAAACATCCACGGGCAGCCCATGTCCTACCTCCTCCACGAGCTGCACTCAGAGGTCAGTCCTGAGACGAGATGCGTGTTTGTTTCAGAGCGTATCTTCTCATCACGCAGACCGGGTGCTGAATGTTGTTCCTTCCTCACCAGGTTCCCGTCTTGCCAAACTTCTCCTGGATCAAGCCGTGTGTCTCGGCCAAAGATCTCGTCTACATCGGATTGAGAGACGTGGATCCCGGGGAGCAGTAGGTTTCTGAGCTGATCTGGAGTCACTTAGACGGGAAAGACAGAGAAGATCCACATTTAAACGAGTTCATTTAACTGTTTAGAGAAGATTAACGTCTTTTCCTGTCTCAAGATTTAATATTCAATACTACTGTGGAACCAGGATATTCTGATCTTAATGCGTCCTAGTCTTTCCACTGAGACGACTCTGCATCCACAGACTGGATGGTGGAAGAGTCTGCAGCTGCTCTGTCAGGCTGTATGCAGTCACAGCAAGGCGTTCAGCTAAATGCTAACATGCTCACAGTAACAGTGCTAATCTGCAATATTTACCCTGTTCCCCATCATAGTTTAGCGTGTTAGCATGCTAACATTAGTAGCAAACACTGATGGGAATGGCATCAGCTCTGCAGGTATTTGGTCCAAACCAACAGGTATTGGACATTTTTGTAGAACATAATAAGTGAGGAATTAAAAGAGTCATTCTTTTGTTTCCCCAGTTACATCCTGAAGCTGCTGGGTGTGAAGGTGTTTTCCATGTCGGACGTGGATCATCTCGGTGTGGCCAGAGTCATGGAGGAGACATGTGACTACCTCTCTGCCAGGTGAGCTCCACCTCCTGCATAACAATCACCTATTAGCACTCTCAGGAGCCACCTTGCTACATCCTAACAACACCAAAGGAGCTGCAGATGATTTTCAATGAAAATTAGTCAGAAGTGAGATAAATAATTAGTTTAGGAAGGTTTGGGCACAATCTGCAGGTTCAAAGAATGCTATTTAATTACACTAATAAATGTTCCTGCACTGTGGATTGTAGACCACTACAGACCTGTAGACCACTACTGACCTGTAGACCACTACTGACCTGTAGACCACTACTGACCTGTAGACCACTACAGACCTGTAGACCACTACTGAACTGTGACCACTACTGACCTGTAGACCACTACAGACCTGTAGACCACTACTGACCTGTAGACCACTACTGACCTGTGGACCACCACTGACCTGTAGACCACTACTGACCTGTGACCACTACAGACCTGTAGTGACCACTACAGACCTGTGACCACTACTGACCTGTAGACCACTACTGACCTGTGACCACTACAGACCTGTAGACCACTACTGACCTGTAGAACACTACAGACCTGTAGAACACTACTGACCTGTAGACCACTACAGACCTGTAGACCACTACTGAACTGTGACCACTACTGACCTGTAGACCATTATTGACCTGTAGACCACTACAGACCTGTAGACCACTACTGACCTGTAGACCACTACTGACCTGTGACCACTACTGACCTGTAGAACACTACAGACCTGTAGAACACTACTGACCTGTAGACCACTACAGACCTGTGACCACTACTGACCTGTAGACCACTACAGACCTGTAGACCACTACTGACCTGTGACCACTACAGACCTGTAGACCACTATTGACCTGTAGACCACTACTGACCTGTGACCACTACAGACCTGTAGTGACCACCACAGACCTGTAGACCACTACAGACCACTACTGAGGTCACACCGGTACAACAGCATTAACAGCGACACTGTTACAGTGAAAACATTTAGTTTTCACTGTAAACAACAGTCTGTGGCTGATTTGACTGATGTTGTTTTGAAATAGGCTACTAGAGATCGGTTCACTTCTACCGACACTAAAATATCCCCTGAATCAGTATTCACGATGTCTGTGTGTTGTCGGGATGTGTGAGCTCCCTCAGGGTCCGAAGTCCAACCACAGCATGGATTTAAACTATGAAGCAGAGGAAACTACCACAATGATTATTTTAAGCTTGCTTCCCTTTGTTGAGCACATGTCTGCACTGTAAAAATAAATTCTAATAATCTAATTTTCACAGTGTGAAGAAACCGATCCACCTGAGCTACGACATCGACGCCATCGACCCCTCTGTTACCCCGGCGACCGGGACACCTGTGGTGGGAGGACTCACCTACAGAGAGGGCGTCTACATCACTGAACACCTCTGTCAGACAGGTACGACTCAAAATACCAACAAACATGGAGCCAGACAATATTTTGTCACGGCTATACAGTAAATCTGAGGCTACAGCTGGTTAGCTGAACATCTAAACAGCTAGACTGGCTCGGTCCACAAGAAGCAAACTCCACCTGCCAGAAGCTCTAAAGCTGTATATATATATAGATACAGCTTGGACCAGACTTTTCAGTTTGATCTGAACCAAAATTACAAGTGTGAAACCTTCCCTGGACGTGGTCTGGAGCCTCGGCCCGGATCAAACCAACCCGAAAGCAGTTTTTGCATGGTTTGGACTAAGACCATTTACAGGAAGATCAGCTGGAAATATAAAATGCAGGGAGAAATGCTCTGAAATAAGGACTCAATTATAAATAAGCCACGACTGCTCATCTAAAAAACAGACTCCTCCTTTCCTGCCGGCAGCAAGGACATTTATTTAGCAAGTTTGAACTTGAACCTGTGCGGCAGGATCTTTTAGGTTTTATTGATGCGTTAAAACAACACAAATGCAAATGATTTATCACTTACATCTTACATTGAAATTCAGTTCTTCCAGAAAAGGTTCAATTGAGGTGCAGTAGTGTTTCAGTTCAACAGTAAACCGATTTAGTAGGTTTGGATCCAGTCCATGAAGTACAAAGTACAACATATGTCACACTTGACATTCTTGTCAAAGCTACTGACAAGACAGACACACGTCCGTTTACAAGCCAAGACGCAGCCCACATAAATGATCACAACAGGACGCAAGCATGTGAAGTTCTTTAGTGCGTTTGCATAATTACAGTGTAAAACCAAACCAAATGCATCAAAACACAAACTTTGGTTTGGAGCTTGGTGCCGACTTTCAGGTGGCCCTTAGTGCCCTTACTTTTTAAGTATTTTAAAGGTAGCCTCACTGCTGTGCTTGTCCTGCAGGCCGTCTGTCGGCTGTGGACATGGTGGAGGTGAATCCTCTGAGGGGTCAGTCCAAAGAGGACGTCCAGTCTACAGTCAGCACGGCGGTGGACCTGCTGCTCGGATGTTTCGGACGCCTACGTGAGGGAAACCACCCGCAGGATTACCAGCTGCCCCGGCCTTGATACCTAAAGGTCTCTGATCACCAGCAGGAACTGAACCGACGATCAGATTCATACTTAAGCACCTCAGAGATGATTAAACTTCCAAATTTTAAACTTCAACAGCCAGATTACGAGATGTCAGAACATAATGCACTTGTTTACCAAAGCTTCTGATCAGTGAAAGTTTAAACCAAAGAAACTCCCTGTGAAACAAAAAGCACTTTTTATGTCATTTCTTGATTCATCTACTGTATCAATTACGTCTTCTTTTTTAAATATTCCAATAAAATATTCCAAATTTGACGTCCTCTGATTGCTCATTTTGTCCAAAACCCAAAGATATTCAGTTACAGTTATATAAAATAGAAAGAAGCAGCAAATCCTCACATTTAAACGGTCACATCTTGCAAATGTTTGTCATTTTTTGCTTGATAAATAGTATTCTGTTGATTGATGACTTGTCTGAGCTCAAACTTTTAAACAAATTACATCAATGTTTTAATCTTTTCAAGCCAAACAGGATGCAGAGGTCAGGGCTGGACCTGTGTCCCTGGTCAGGCCACGCTCTGGACAAAGCATTTGTTGGGGGCTCTGTGTCTTTAGAGACTTTTATTCCTGCATTCTTGAGAATTTTTGCAGTTCATCATTAAATGAGCCACTAAAATACATTTTCAAAACTAGAAACAACGATCTAGCTCTTCTTGAGTAAAGCAATCACTGTTGCTGAGGCCTGAGACTTCAATTTAAATAAATCATCAATCTAAACACATCACTGACTGGCTGTGACGCTTGTCCTTATCTCTGCTGTCTAATATTCACTCATGTCAGCGCCGGCCTGTGGTGGGTAAAGTCCAGTTATCCCCATAAAAATCACTTGAAATAAAAGTACAAAATGACAAACCTACTCCAGTAAAAGTGTAAAAGTATTTATAATAAACTACTCAAAGTACAAGTTTGCTTGTGTTTTAATATTGTAAAGTGTGTGCAGGGCAGAGATCTTCTCTTCTTGTGTATCGGGTCTGAAACAGCCTCTGTGTTGCATGGTTATTTCTAGGGAATGCACTTTGCTTGTTGGTTATCTCTAATTGAGCTCTCTTTAATACAATTATTTTCCATTATTAATCTACATCACGGTATTGATGAGATCACTTTAAACGATCTGGCTGCCGAGCCTACTATTGTTGCCTGCCTGTGTCTTTTCTGAAGGACATGGAGAAAACCCAAAGCACTTGCTTTGAAATGAGGGCGCTACACATGATCTGCCTTCTCCAATAGCTCAGGCATCCAATACACTATGATTATTCCTTAAGTATCTATTGTAGCATGCATAGTTATGTTTTAATAAACTTATGAGAATTAAAACCAAATTATGAATTTTAATATTCAGAAAATATTAATTCATAAAGCTTCTCGTTTCGCGGAGCACAACCCGAGATTCTGTTAAACTTATAGGAAGGCCCTCCGTAATGCCAGAGCAGCGTACTACTCGTCATTAATAGAGGAAAATAGGAACAACCCCAGGTTTCTTTTCAGCACTGTAGCCAGGCTGACAGAGTCACAGCTCTATTGAGCCAAGTATTCCCATAGCTCTCAGTAGTTACGACTTCATGAGCTTCTTTAATGATAAAATTCTAGCTATTAGAGACAAAATTCACTAAGACCTGCCCTCAACTGGCACCAACTTATCTCTAAACTCAGGAACCTTAGAAACAGCTGTAGAACCAGATACATGTTTAGACTTTTTTGCTTCACTCAATCTTTACCAACTAACTTCAATAATTTGGGTGCGTACATCCTTCCGTTGTGTGTTTTTGACTGATAATTGGAGGTTTTTCATTGATTTAAAGACTTTATTAAGTAATAAAACTTGAATGAACTAGTAGGTGTTTATGACAATAAATTTATCATTAAAAAAGTATAGCAGTGAGTTATAAGTAAAGGAGGAATCTCCGGGGCCAGCAAAGGATCAGTAGGAGGTTTCTTCATTGATTTGGAATCAAGTCAGTCTTTATTATTAAACAAGTAAAGAATAAATTGAAATAATGACATTAAAGCAGTAAAATAGTATAATGGTGAGTAAAAATTAAACAGCATTATAAATTACCTTCAACAGCATGCAGCAAAATAAGAGAGAGTTCCAAAATTAAACTTTGTAAAATCTTTGCTAAAGCTTTGTGTGACAAACTTACCATCATTAAAGAACTAAAGAATAAAATGAAATAATTACAGTAAAATAGTATAACAGTGAGTTAAAATTAAACAGATTTTTAAATTACCTTCAACAGCATGCAGCAAAATAAGAGAGAGGTCCAAAATTAAACTTGTTATAATCTTTGCTAAAGCTTTGTGTGACAAACTTGCTATCATTATCACTCTAAAGCTGTAGCCTAGTCTTAAACTTGTGAGTCTTAAAACTTTAATCCTTCTAGAGTCTGTGTCTCTTCTTCTCTGTCCTCTCTCTTTCTGGTGTAGCATAGGCTGTGCAGGGTGAATTGAGGAATGTGCTCCACCCCCCGCACCTCCTTCCATCCCTCCCCTCCCTCTGTTTTCTCAATGAGCCGTGTTGTGTGTTTTAACTGTCATTAGCATCTTCAGGTAATCTTGTAGACCAGTTATGGAATAGAGTTATCTATAACCCCAGACTCTGATTAAAATCGGTCTGGTTTTATCAGACAGAGTTCATTTTTGAAACAGGAACGTCTCGGGTTACGTATGTAACCCTGGTTCCCCGAGAAGGGGAACGAGAGACTGCATCGGCCCGCCGCACCTCTCTCCCCGCCTGAAGCGCCTGCTTCATAGTTTAAGCTAATGATGAGTGTGTACAGGTGTGCTTTATACTCCTCCGGTTATTCCGTCACACCTTACCGTTCTAGCAACAGGCCAATAGGATTGGAGTGATTTCATTCACGTTCAGACCTGCTTCGCCTAGAGGCGTTCCCATAGTGTCGTAACCGACGCAGTCTCTCGTTCCCCTTCTCGGGGAACCAGGGTTACATACGTAACCCGAGACGTTCTCCTTCGAGGGAACTTGAACTGCGTCGGTTACGACACTATGGGAACGAGATACCCACTAAACCGTGCCGAAAACCCCGCCTGCCCCTGTGTGCGAGGTGCCGAAGGAAGGTCAAGACTGTAAAACCGAATGAATGTGTGCGGAGTGGCCCAGCCAGCCGCTAAACAACATCCTGCAAAGAGGCCCCGGAAAGGAGGGCTCGAGAGGCCGCCTTGCCTCTGGTAGAATGAGCCCTCACAGCCACAGGTGAAGGCAAACCGCGCACCTGATAGGCCAGGGAAATAGTCTGAACAATCCAGTTGCTAATAGTATGTTTGGATGCAGGGAGCCCGGCCCTGGGAGACCCAAAACACACTAGCAGCTGGTCAGCCTTCCTCCAACGGGAGGACCTCAGAGTGTAAATACTCAGTGCTCTGACAGGGCAGAGCAGATGAAGTCTCCCGTCCTCCGCCGTCACATGAGGTGGAGGATGAAATGCCTGCAGCACTGTGGACCCTGCCGCACAAGAAGGCACTTTAGGGATGTATCCTGAACGAGGGTGCAGGATAGCCCTAATATTCCCCGGGGCAAACTCCAGGCTTTGCGGGGAAACCGAAAGCGCTTGGAGCTCCCCCACCCTCCTCAGAGAGGTGATAGCAAGGAGAAAGGCCATCTTGAGGGTCAAGTGCTTAGCCTCAGCTGACTCCAGGGGTTTGAAGGGGGCCTCAGCCAACGCCCCAAGAACCACTGCCAGATCCCAAGTGGGAACCTTGGACCGAGTCGCAGGTCTCATCCTCCGGGCACCACGGAGGAAACGTACAACCAAGGGAAGTTTCCCCAAGAACCCCTCCCTCAGAGGGGTGTGGAAAGATAAAATAGCTGCCACGTACACCTTGAGGGTGGAAGGGGAAAGACCAGCAGAGAACCGGTCCTGGAGGAACTCAAGTACCTGAACCACCGGGCAGGTAACAGGGTCCACCGACCGCTCCCTACACCAAGTGGAGAAAACACTCCACTTCAGGCCGTACATCCTCTGTGTGGACGGGGCCCTGGAGCTCAGGAGGGTCTCGACTGCTCCGGCTGTTAGACCCGCCTCTAGGTACTGTGCCCCCTCAGGGGCCAGACCCACAGTCGCCATATGGCGGGGCAAGGGTGAAGAACCCGGCCCTGCGCCTGGGACAGCAGGTCTCTCCTCAGAGGGACCCGCCACGGCGGGCCGTCCAGGAGCGACATGATGTCCGAGAACCACACCCGGGTTGGCCAGAACGGGGCTACCAGCAGTAGGCCGACATAGTCCTGGCGGACCCGCTCCAGAACCGAAGACGTAGCCTCGGCCACGAATGTACCATGGCGTCCAGACCCAACGGGGCTGGAGGAACGAGAGAAACCATAGCGGGCAGTGCGTAGTCTCTTGAGACGCAAACAGATCCACGTCTATGGGGCCGAACTCTTCGCACAAGAGCTCCACCACTTCGGGGTGAAGTCTCCATTCCCCGGGCCTCAGCCCCTGCCTCAACAGCAGGTCTGCTCCCTGATTCTGCGTCCCCAGGAGATACATCGCCCTGAGCGATAGTAACCTCTGCTTGGACCACAGGAAGATCTGACGCGCCAGTCTGTCCAGAAGGCCCGAGCGCATACCGCCCTGGTGATTCAGATAGGCCACCACCGCTGTGTTGTTCTCCTCGGAACGAACCAGGACGTGGTGGCCTTGGAGATCGGGCAGGAAACTCCTTAGAGCCTGGAACACCGCCAACATCTCGAGACAGTTGATATGCCACTCGGATCGATGCACCTGCCAGGATCCCCTTGCAAAGCGGCCGTCCATGACCGCGCCCCAGCCCGTGAGGGAGACGTCTGTCGAAAGAACCAGCCGGCGACAAGACCCTCCCAGCATGGGCCCCTGGGACAGGAACCAAGTTTCCTTCCAAACTGATAGGGAACGAAGACACTTGCACGTAACCCAAACCAGACGGAGAGGATTCCCCTCGGGGAAAAACCCTTGTTCCTTAGCCACCACTGCAGGGGTCTCATGTGCAGCAGTCCAGATGGTATTACGCTGGACGCAGCCGCCAGGAGACCCAACACTCGTTGAAAGTGTTTCATAGTGATGGCGTGACCTAACTTCACCCCTTTCACGGCAGCCAATATGGTGTCGACACGTGCCGGAGACAATTGTGCCCGCATCGTTGTCGAATCCCATGCAACCCCTAGGAACGTAGCCCATAGGGTGGTGCCAGCACGCTCTTCTTTGCGTTGAGCCTCAGCCCTAAACGCCGCAGACGAGCCAGAACGACATCTCGATGTCGAACCGCCAACTCTCGAGACTGGGCTAGGATGAGCCAGTCGTCGATGAAGTTGAAATCCGGATGCCCCGGAGCCTCAGCGGGGCCAGTGCTGCATCCATACACTTGGTGAATGTGCGAGGGGAAAGTGCCAGGCCGAATGGAAGAAACCGATACTGGTAAGCCACATCCCCGAAGGCAAACCTCAGGAACTTCCTGTGAGAAGGACGGATGGAGACCTGGAAATAGGCGTCCTTTAGATCTATCGTGACGAACCAATCCTCAGATTGGATGTGCGTCATGGTGGCGGGGTCTCCTCAGAGATCGGTTAGAACCCGCAGATCCAAAATAGGGCACGCAGCCCTCCGTCCTTCTTGGGGACTATGAAGTACCGGCTGTAGAACCGGCGTCTCTGTCTGGGGGGGAGACACGTTCCACGGCCCCTTTCCTCAGCAGAGTACAAACTTCCTGTCCCAACACCGGACCTTGCTCCGGGCGGACCACAGTCCAAACCACCCCCTCTCTTCTGTTGAATTTGGAGGGCGGGTTTTGAACTGTAGTCGATACCCATCTATGGCAGTGCGCAGGACCTGCGGAGAAATGTTTGTCAGGCTCCGCCAAGCGTCTGCAAAGTCTGCTCCATGATTACTCAGTTCATCATGTACTTTCTTTTCAGGAAAGAATGGCAGAGACCGGCGTGGAGGTGGCGTGTGGTGCTTAAGAAACCTTTCATCAAGCTACCACTAGCCTGTGGTGTCTGCTCCTCTTTTCTCTTTTTTTTTCGGCCAGTTGATGTTGAGCTTAGCCACGGCTCTAGTCACCACCTCCAGCAGCACGTCATAGTCGGGCACGGCCAGATGACGCCGCCCCGACACCCGGAAGTCATCGTCCACTGCGCTGAGCACGTCCGCCTCCTCCGAGTCGGATTGCTGCAGCGTCTCCGGATCCAAACCGCGAGATGAGCCAGCGGATGAAGGTCGGGAAAAAGCCTCAGCCGTCCCGAAATCCTCCGACAGATCACGCTGTGAACCCATGAGTGAAGCCGCCGGGCTGCCTCAGCGGCCGCAGGGCCCGCGCCACAGGGAAAACACATCCGGCCATCCTCGGAAAGAGAGCCATGCTGTACCTCAGTACCCGCACGGAAAGGGCTTCGCAACGGGCGCAGGCAGCCCCCTCGAGAGCTGCCCGTGTGTGCTCCATCCCCAAATATGAGACACACATCTCATGAGAATCTCCATCCGTGATGTACCGAGGGCAAGAAAAAACACACCTTCTGTACATCTGGTTGCCGGACATGCTGGTAGACTTCTTCTTCAGGTAAGACACACTGCTTGTAGGACTGGAGCTTTCTTCAAACAACATACAGAGCGCCTGCTGAATAGAAAAAAGCTAATGATGAGTGTGTACAGGTGTGCTTTATACTCCTCCGGTTATTCCGTCACACCTTACCATTCTAGCAACAGGCCAATAGGATTGGAGTGATTTCATTCACGTTCAGACCTGCTTCGCCTAGAGGCGTTCCCATAGTGTCGTAACCGACGCAGTTCGAGTTCCCTCGAAGGGGAACGTCTCGGGTTACGTATGTAACCCTGGTTCCCCGAGAAGGGGAACGAGAGACTGCGTCGGTTACGACACTATGGGAACGCCTCTAGGCGTAGCAGGTCTGAACGTGAATGAAATCACTCCAATCCTATTGGCTTGTTGCTAGAACGGTAAGGTGTGACGGAATAACCGGAGGAGTATAAAGCACACCTGTACACACTCATCATTAGCTTAAACTATGAAGCAGGCGCTTCAGGCAGGGAGAGAGGTGCGGCGGGCCGACGCAGTCTCTCGTTCCCCTTCTCGGGGAACCAGGGTTACATACGTAACCCGAGACGTTCTCCTTCGAGGGAACTCGAACTGCGTCGGTTACGACACTATGGGAACGAGATACCCACTAAACCGTGCCGAAAACCCCGCCTGCCCCTGTGTGCAATAAAGTGACACTACTAAGAGGAGAGCGCACGAGTGCCCGGTGCCGAAGGAAGGTCAAGACTGTAAAACCGAATGAATGTGTGCG